TGAAACGAACCATTGCTATACCATCTACTTCATGAGGCCTTATAGGAGGCAAACGAATTCCTTGTTTCCCTAAAAATTTCATGAAATTAAATGCAATTTCCTTTGATAAATCAAAATAACCATTTTTAACTAATTGTTCGCCTATAGTCTCAACAGCTCGTCTTCTACGTAAATTCCCATAAATTCTTTTTTTATTCTCTTCGAGTCTCATTTCCTCTCGCTCGCGATCCAATTCCTTTTTCCAAGCATCAAGCAAAACAGCATTTATGGCCTCTTCCAATGCCTCCTCTGAGGCGAAAGACAAATCTGGAAGTTCGATACGAACAGATAGAAGTTCCTTTCCATATCGGCGATAAATTGTAATAGATTCCTGCTCATCGGAATCTCCAAGTAAAGAGAATGAAAATGGGTAAATAATGTTTGAAAGTGCAACAGTCCAGCTTGAATCTAACTCGAGAGTATCAGGCATTCTTACTGTGAATTTTGAAGTAGTATTTCCTTCAACATCGCCAGAATTCGAAGGTAAAACAACATAAAATGAATCCATTGTCAATGTCTAACTATATCGCTGTCGTTTACCCAACTGTTATGAATATCTTTATAACCAACCCAACGCACAAAGTGTTGCTTTATCCCTGTACGTGTTGTACGAGTCTTTAAAATTTCGGCAATACGATGTGTAGTATCCTCTTGTGTAGGCACCAACTCTTCTCTATAGAATATTCCTTCAATTAGGTTGTCTTCAAAATCTTTTAACCTATATGTTATAGGAGTACGTGTGTCGTTCGTTGTATGTACAAGAAAAAGTTCGTCAGTATAGTTAGGTAAATATCCTTTTTCAAATTTACCCTTTTCTTTTGAAATGCGGACAACTTGTCCAGGCTCGAGTTTAGAAGTTATTTTAATAGCTGTACCGGTACCCTTATATAGCCTCTCAAATAATTTTCGAGAATTCTTAAAAGTAACTGAATTTGGTGTAACACCTGTAACACGGTTTACGCTAGAATTTATTCCAGAAACAATTTTCTGAATAGCCTCAACCCACCGCAGTGTGTTTTTTTCACTGAAATATCGATATAATCTTTCCTTTATTGTACGATTTGCCCTTTCTGCCATTGAAGCATGCACATCAGGGCTATAAACTACACGTTTATCAATGTCCTTTGATCTAAAATAATCCCTCATTTTTTTAGCTTCAAATTCTAATCCGCGATCAGTGTATAGTTTATGAGGCAAGATACCATTAGAAAGTTTGAAAATTTGTTCAAATGCCTCAATCATATCTTCTGATCTCTTTGTCTTGACCGGCGCAGCAAAAATCATTCGACTTAGAACATCAATACATACTAAAAGGTACCTGTTACTATCATTATGTTTAGCTATCTGATCAAATATTGCTAAATCTGCTTGCCAATCAGTATGAAGACCAGCGGACGTGTTACTAGCCTTGGAAAATTTTTTCTGGAGGGCCTATGCATCGTATACACTCTTTGCTTGTGCAAAAAATTATAAACATCTTGAAATTTTGTCTTCGGATATTTGCGTCTCGTTTCTTCATAAACGCGATGTATTCCTGCATAGGAAGCAGGAGAATTTAGCGAATAATATATTTTTGATAAAAAGTTATCTAAAGCTTTTCCCATATTTGAGGAATAAATTTATTTTTCTTTTTTATAGGCAAGACTTTTACCAAGACTCTTTTCTTTCTTTTCCCGCTACCGGATTGACTTCCAGAACTTTCTTCAATACTGCTTTCTCCTTGCGTCTCCTTAATCATTTCTTTTACCAAAGGGTCTTTGGACAATCGATTAAATAGAAAACTAAAACCTTTAGGAGGTGATGCTATATCTCCTTGTACATATTCGAGCACTTCGGTGAAATTACTATTCTTCACAATTCTTCCTTTGACATTAGATTCAAAGCTTCCATTCTTATGTATTCTAAATTTATCCGCATTATCTTTGACATAATTTTCCAGTTCCTTAGAATATTTCTTTGAAATAACACCATTAAAAGGTGTTGTTTTTCTTCTTTTCATTAGTTTTGCTGATGTAAATTCTGAATCTGTTTGATATTCTGAACTTGAGTGTACAGGCATTAACTGTACTTTAGGGGCTGCAGTTTCCTTTAGGTAAGGAGCAACTTCTGTAGCTCTCGCTGTTTCGTCGATAATAACCTTTTGAGGTCTATTTTCTAATTCATGTTTGAGTTGTCTTCTTTTTTTATATAACCAGTTATATTTTTGGGCCTTTACATCTTCACTTAAAGTTGGATTAGTAAGAGTCTGTTTAATTTTTGAGTCGGTTTGTACCTTTTCATTTTGAAGAAAATCTCCGCCTTTAATCAAGTTTAGTAGTGCAAGATATTCACTTTCAGGAACCATAATCATTTTCTTTGTATGTTTCATTCTTGTGTGAATCTATGAATGATATGTTCAGCTAAAGCTCCAAGAACGGGTACGAGTATAGCTGCTAGAGCGGCACTACCTCCTTGTTGTATTCGATTTCTGGCGCTTTTTTCTGTACGTGTTCTAGCGATAGCTCTATAGAAATCAGCAAATTGAGCTAATTTTTTGCGCTGTCTTCTATTTAATATAAAATTATTTTTTAAAATATTAGCACAAATTTCCACTATTGCTAATATTTGATCCGCACTGGCTGAAAGAATTAAGGCGTTCTTCTTCTTATCTGAGGATGTTTTAGCTAAGCGCTGTAAAAATTCAAAATTTTCTTTAACGTATGGACTATAGTTATACATTTTTTATAATTAATAGTTTTTAGAGCACTTATATATTATAGAGGCAAATATATAGTCTGTTTTTCACCTGGAAATATTTTAGTAGAAAGACGCAAATTTTCTTCCGTACTTGGATGCATGTTAATTAGCAAATATGAAAATTGCTCAGAAGTAGCATCGCGATAAGCCTCAAGAAAATAGTTTAACATTTTTGGAAAAAGTTGAGATCCTAGTGTGCGTACCTGGAGCAGTCCTTGAGGATTTTTGGTTAAAAGAATATAGTGTGCATTTGCTCGTGCTGTCTTGATATCTCGCCCATAAAGAGATTGAGTTACAAATATTACACTTACACCCCAATTATGCGACCCCCTAGTAAAAAGTAAATCTAAAAATTCAACTGGAATATTTAGCATCAAATCATCAAGGACTAATAATTGGTGCTGTTTAATCAGCTCAACTTCTGGAACACCGTTATAGGTTGTAATTCCCATCTCTTTTAGCTTAAATATATTTTCGTTCATTTCACCAAAACAATATAATATTTTATTTGGCACAGGTTCAACTAATTGTTCACAATTTGCAAGAAATTTCATAAGCCATTGGGTTTTCCCGCTGCCTGTGGCACCGGAAATAACCATAGTGAAAGGAGCTTTGAACATTTTTATATAAGAAATACATTTAGATTTTCGTTTATATATTACAGATGTTTCCCAAAGCAATTATACAAAATGTTGTTTCGACAGCACAATTACTTGATAAAAATAATAAATTCGATCTATATACAATTTCAGCTATTATTAAAAATTCAAAATATTCTCCAGAACGTTTCTCAGCACTTATAATTAAAGTTGAACAACCCATTAGGTCTACAGCTCTAGTATTCTCTAACGGAAAGATTGTATGTGTTGGAACAAAATCTGTTCAGGACTCGCAGATTGCGATACGAAATTTTGTTCAAATCATAACATCTGCAAGCTGTTTACCAATAGAAATACGTGCATTTAAAATACAAAATGTTGTGTCATCATTTTCATTTCCAGGACATCTTAACTTACCAGGTAACTGTTTTATAGTATACTGAATTTTGTTTAAGCCTTGTATGATACTATGAGGATTGCCCCACCAACTTGGCTCGCTCGACATATTTCTTACAACCCAGAATTTTTCCCTGGAATGTGCTTGAGGATTAAGGAATTACGTTCTGTTATTATAATCTTTACATCTGGAAAGTGTATAATTACAGGTGCACGGACGGAAGATGAAATTTATATTGTTCAAAATAAAGTTTACAATTCAATTTTAATGTTTCTGAAAAACTAATAAATACTTGTATTAATTTCGCTTCTTAATTCCATTAAAAGCTTGCCAAGTATATTATCACCTTCCCATTGGCTTGGGTCTTTAAGTCGAGCACTTTTTGGACTTACGCCGCTGCTCCAATGTAGTTCAGATGCTGAAGCCTGAGTAATTAGACCATCCCCTGTGGCACGTAACTGATTGAATAATTGCGTGTTCTGTGTGAATTTCGCCCAGAGACCAGTGTACATAACCTGATAATAAAGTCGAAATTAGCAAAATAAAAATTTTTACTTTATCTCGAACAGAATTCCATTCCTCATGGTTATATCCACGGATACGTTTGCCAATTCGTTTAATAGCTAGAGGATTATCTAGCATTAAAACTTGGCCAGCAATTTCCAAATCTCCGAAAAAGCGCGCTTTCTGCCAAATAAAGTATTGTTCAATCGAGCTAAATGTTCTTCCAAGCAGTGTAAAATTGGCTTTAAATCTGTTATCGAAGCCAAAACGTTGAGAATAGAATACAAATATATTTTGTTGTTGATCGCCAAGAATTTCTTCTGGAGGATACGATTTTGCCTCGTGCTTTAAATGTAATCGCTCAAGAATACTTGTTGCCGTTTCTAAAAAATTTGAAATTAATTAATAGTTTACCAATTACCTATTTTAATATCACTGATCATGCTGTCTTTGAATATTTATTAAATAGATTAAAACAAATTTAAAAAAATATATAAGCTGATTGAACAATTATTTACATTTTTTTAAATTAATATATTTATTCAAAAATAATCATTTATAGGATCATTAATGGGGTTTCCTCTGTACCCATAAGGATAGCAGTCAAAATTTGCATCGACGATTCCTTTATCATAGATGGGAGTGTAGCGTCTATATAAATTACATATTTGTAAATATTCAAATTATACCTAATTTGGGATTGGCTTATGACTTGGCCTTTGCGCCAGCTAGGTTGAAAATGAGTCCTCTCCAGTACAACAGGATCTTGCTTTTCTCCATACGCTTCTACCATTCTCTTAAAATAGCTACAGAATCAAAGATTAATAATATAATACCCTAAAATGATTGTAATCCAATGGAGTGTCAACTTGATCCCAGCATCCACGGCACTTGACAATGTATTTTATCTCCCCACTTTCTCTATGTTTCATTTTCATTGCATACTAAAATTCATATATAAATACGGAAATTTTTAAACCTGTTTACATCCACCGGTATAGAAGGACATAATTAACCAATCTTCGTATTCACGACTCATCATTCCAAGCATATCGCCAACACGAAACGGTGGTTTCTTATCAATTTTATGCAAATAGAAACAGCTATCGGTATCCGTATATAATAATTTGCAGTCTTTTTCGTTAACAATATTATCCATGTATTCGTAAAGCATCACACGCGCAGTAGCAGTAGTAATTAGCGCTAATACAATGTTGTATTTGTCGTGTGGTCGAACAAATTCTCGTCGACTTTTGTAAGGGACAGCATACAAATCTGGCGTCAACATTTCGATTGCGCCTATTTCCAACTTTGGATCATTAAGAACAGTATGAAGTTTAGCAGGAGAGCTTGTTATGCAATCTTTGGTCAGATTACAACGAAGTGCCCACCGCCCCCACCTAAATCATGAATTATAATTTATGATATTTCATACATAGAATTATTGCATGTTTTTGCTAAGTATCGCAATCCTTCATTCTTGGCAATTCGTGAAGGCTCAAGTTTAATACCATATTCTTTTTGGTTTCGTTCTATAAAATCCTTTTTGAGCTTTTCTTCTAAATCAGGATTTTCGGGTTTCAGGACACTACTCGGCCAGCCGCTAGCCTTAAACAAAAAATGTTGAATACTAACAAAATTTTAACCTCAATTTTTAATCTCATCATGTCCTGAACATAAGGCCTTAACAGAGTATTAGACCATTCATTCCAATTATAAATGCTATAAACTTTTGTAACGCGATACCCCTTTTTCAATGCAAGTTCGAGTTCAACAGTACATGTAGTGCTTACAAATCCTCTCTGCTTATCGTTATGGGCGCACCAGATTCTGCCAATCTCTCGGCTATATTTATTTTCATTTCGCTTTGGCACCCCTGGTTCCATTTCGATTGCACAGCGATGGCATAAATGGAATATCTTTTGAATATATTAGGAAATATCAAAAAATAACTCACCAATTTGCCATTTATTCTTTCAGGTATCACAGGTAAGTACAGGTCCTCGGGTGGAATGATGAATACTTTAAATATCCCTCTATAAGGACGCAAATCCTCAGGCATAGTCCAATTTACTTCTAGATTAATATCAAGAACCTCAGGGTGTCCTAATAATTTTATAGTTTTAGAAATATTGAATAAAATTACCAATAGGATAAAATGCATAGAAGTTCACTGCCGGATATAGACTAACCACGTCAAAACAAGAAATTTCATATTCATCAATATCTTCCAGATTACACTTTAAAGATAAAGGGCCTGTTCTTCCACCTAAAGTATCTTGAATAATTTTTACTTGAATTAAAAACCATGGAAAGAATCTCTAGGAAATAAAGGTCCACTGTCAGACAACTGAGCAAAGAAAAGTGCCATCAGTGGATCATCTTCTAAAGCCTTATTTGCTTCGCACTCCCAAAATGTATATGTACATATACCTTCCTCTTTCAACAAATTAATTCTTTCTTCTAATTTATCTTTATTATACAAAGCTGTTTTGCCATTTAAACAGATTTCATGTTGACGATAGAGACTACATTGATAAAAATTATTTAAAAACTGTTTTTTACCATTCATGTCCGTGCCAGGCGCATCCGAGAAACTCTATTGCTATATCATTTCCTCCGTTATTTCCCTTGATGTAGCCGTCAAGACGTAATACACTTCCATTTGAAGCAAAAACTCTATGCTCGCCTTCTGCACATTCTTGATGTTGTATGTGAAGTCCTGTTTTATGTTCTAACCACTTAATAAATTTCAAAGCGATTGTAGATTGATTAGAATCTCTGTGGTATCCATTGTCAGGTATAATACCGATTTGGTTACTTTTTAAATAGTTTATACCTGAATATAATTTATGTTTGTTTATAATTTTTAATTTACAAAAATGACGGAGACAAGCACTAGCCAGAGTCATAGAAGACACAAGGACATCATCCTGTTTAGAAGGCTCTGGAGCAAGTTCAAAAAATAACTTCTGAAGTTTCACAAGAGCATATGCAAGTATACGTACGTCTTGTTCACAGTATTCAACAATTTTTTCACTAAGGCAGAACGGCTCGTTTTTATTTAATAGGTACCATTCTTCAAAATCCTTTCTTCTTTGCTTTCCCATAGAATTGGGGTAGTAATATTCTTTATCAGGTAATCCGTTAAGTTGGATATGCATATTCTTGTTAAAGTTCCATCCATGTGGAAAGAAAGATTTGCCTCCTTCGTCGATTTCTAAACCAAGAGCTTTTGGTAACTGATCTAATTTGAGCATCATCCAGTTAAATGAATCGCGAAAAGATATATAAGGACAAATTCCTTTTTTCTTTTTTAGAAGAACCTCGTAAAGTTTATTGCCTGTTCTTGTAATATTAGGCTCACATCCAAAATGTTTGATTAATTCACCCAATAACAAATGCATGTCATAGCGGCTAAAAACAAATAATAAATTTGCTTTTAAGAAATCTCACCCTCCATAATGAGAAATAGCATATGTACGACCAATCCTATCTTTTCCAAGTCCGAAAATTAACCATTGAAGAAATTTACGCAGCGGATTATCATACTGTGCCCCTGTCCAGCTTTGCATCCTTTTCAGGCCTGGAGTACATGTTCTACATGTTCTCGTAATTTCTTCCATCCAATTCCCATTTCTCATACATGTTGAGCAAAACAATATTGCCTAAATTTTTTGTGTTATATACTATACAATTTTTACCGAAACACAATTCACGTGGTGAAGTCGATAATTTTCATCGAAATTTTGAAATTCATCTGATCTTTCTCTACCAGGAGTTAAGAGTTCACATTCAAAATCGAATACAACCTAAAAATTTATTTGATTTTTAAAACTTAGTCTATACCATAAGATAATTGTGCTTTTGTTTAGGAGCAATTGGCTGTACAAAGCAATACTCTTCTTTTCTATGCCAGGAACGACAGAGCGAACAAAAGCGTATATAACAGCTGTGCACTTCATTAGTTTTTACCCGATAAATTTGACCACATTCCTTGCATCTATTTTAAAAATATTTTTTCCTACTAATTAATTAAACCTTTTGAATATTCTACAAATTGCACCCAAATGTTGTCTATAACAGTTGGGATTACGGAACAGATTTGAACATTTTGAACAATATAATTCAAAGCCGGGTATTTTTTTACAAGGAAAATCCGCTCCCATTCCACAGCAACGTGGGCATTTTGCCGAACATGATTGACGATGCTCATTTTTTTCGTGGTAGGTAGTTTCACATTCAAGACAATAATATAAATCTTTGCCAAAAAGCGAATTAAGTTTTCTAATGCCATAGTAATGACCATCCTTTAAGTATAAGGAAATATCTTTCTTTGCTCTATCTGTTCCTTTCCAAATCGGACGAGCTTGACCATTTTCACCAAAAACAGATAGCCTATATTGTCCAGGAAATCGCTCATCCAAAAATTTTTGAATCAATGGAACATGTTCTTCCACGCTATAATGTTGTAAATTGGAAGAATATCTGATTCCTTGTTTTTTTAATTGAATAAGCATATCTTTGATCAAATTGCAACGATATAGCCTAGCACGCGCTCCTTTTCCGTGAACAAGCCTTTGGAATTTAACATTTTCTTTTGTTGTTTTATCCAAATTGATATATGCCATTGTAAGCTGAACAGCTAATATAAGGCAATGATTTTTGAAAGATTCACCGAGATCCTCATTTCGAACCTTAATTTTAAAAATTATTTTATAAATAGATATAAACCTCTATAAGATTGTTAACATCAATGCCTTGCAAAATATTACGCCCTTTTCTACCGCTTCCACTTTGACTTTGTCGTACCAAAGCAAGAGCTTCTTCATGTGACGGCCCCATAACGATCTTAGAAAAAAATGTTCTTTATTCTGAATTATAAAAATGCCTCGATATGTAGCGGCTGACTGAAGAGTGATGGCCTTCCCATTCTTTTTCCACTTTGATCTACAGAATCAAACTGTTCCATGACAACCTGTGGCGTGTTTTGCGCCAAACCTCTATACGGAATTTGAATAGGCTTTTCAAGTACTGCGCTTCTAATTATTATTGAACATTTTTCCGATTTTGCACCAGAAGACTTATCTGCTTTTGAAATGAAGTAGTCAATTAAATCCTCCAAGAGTTGATCTGTTCCTTCAGGGGCATCTTCTATGTTTTTTACAGTGAACACATTCCTGACGAACTTTAAATTAGAATAAGATTTAGCAATACCTGAAAACACCGATTTTGAATCTAGTACTGTTTATAGTCTCGGATGCATTTTCAATATAAAAATGTTTAGCTGAATATTTTCCAAAATTTCTAGAATGGGACCTCATCTAAATGCTATAACAAAAAGAAATATTAAGTTATTAGATATTAATGCTCAAACATTTTTTAAATAATATTAATATACTGAAAATTTATTCTTCAATGATTTTTATATTTAAAAATTCCGTGTCGATAAATTTTACTATTCAATAGTATTTTCCGCTTTATCAGCGACTGGTACAACTTGTTCTTCAGAAATTGCATCGGTTTGTACTTCTTTGTCCTCCTTGCTGGGTTGAATCGTGTCCGTATGAGCTCTCATAAATATTATTGGCGAATCTGTATTTTTGAATATTTAAATAATGCTTTTGTTAAACCTTCTCTAGCAATAGGTCCGTGGATGCTCGCGTGTTTATTGAAAATTTTGATAGCCATCTCCAAATCAATTTTTGACCAGAATTTGCTGAACGGATTATGAAGCTCAAGATATAACTCTTCCTTAACAACTTCAGTAATTGCCTAAATTCCATTTGATTATTTATAGAAAAGTTTATTTAAAAAAATACAATTTTTGCTAAGGCATTCCTCTCTCTAAGTAGATGTTCATGCACCTGACTCTTCGATAGTGGATAACGTTGTTCGTGAAATTGCATGAAAGCTTCATATAGCTCATTCTTTAGCGTTTCATCATCTTGTCGCACGTATTCCAAAGTATTTAGTTGGCGTGAAAAACGAATAACGCTTTCTTTGAGACCATCAATTGCTTGTTCATACATTTCCTGATCCATCTTAAAATAAAAATAGCTTAAATTTTTAATTAAATATTACCTTTATTTAAAAAGTAGAGCGATTGCTTAAATTAATCTTAAATTTACAAATTGAATAAAAATATATGTAAATCGACATAGCGATTTAAGATTAAATTGTTTTTTGTGATACTACTTTTATTCTAAAATTAATTTATTTAAGGATTAATATCGTCATTGTAATCGTTGTCAACTTTTCAGTTTTTGTTACCATTGTTGTAAGTTTTTTGTTGATGGTCTATGTTAGCCGAGGAGCAAACAGAGCAAACCTTAATTAAAATAATTAGTTTTGATTAATTTTTATAATACCAAGAAGCTAAGTTCAAATTTTTCGCAACTCTTCTGCAGAAAAAGATCAGTGGCCATCTTCTTTGTAAGTTCTCGACATTGTGAGCACTAAAATAATTTTTGAAATAATATATAATAATTATACCTGGTGCAGTATCCAACAATATTTAACCAAGTTTAACAATTTTTTCTCTTTTCCTTTTGTAATGCCCGCTCCTCGAGAAAATTTCAATACTTTCTTATCTTAAAATATAATTATTTTAATATCTATTCAACAAAATACCGTTATTTAGGCTAGACGACTGAGCGGCAGATATTAAATTATTTGATGTATTACCTGAAAAATTAGAATTATAAAAAATTAATTCTCACCAAAATATCCGTTGTAATGCATTGCTAACGATATATTCTTGTCCAGATCTTCCGCGCATAATTCTATAGTTATAATGGACAATCCTTCATGACCAATTTTGAATAAAAAATATTCCCTCTTCTTTTGATGGTTGCGACAAGATTCGCATTGGTATATGAATATACCAGAACGAGGGTCCTTCAGAATTTGGGCGCGGTTAAGTAATGCTTCAGGCACGACGAGTTTCTTTCGTAATTTTCCTAAAATTGTTTTAATTTATAAAAAATTTAAAAAGTACTGTCTAGACGCATCTGTTTATATTCTTCCTCATTTTCTCCTAAATCTATTTCCTCATCTGAGTCAGGATCACTTGACTCGTCCTCTTCCTCTTCCATTTGATAATTGAGAATTGCCTGGTGCAATTCTTCTTCATCTTGTTTTTCTTTTTCGGACTGTCCAGTTGATTTATCAACAACAGCCTTTTAAATAAAAGAAAATACGAGCTATATGTTAAGTTCCTACCTTAATAACGGGATCAAAAATATTTTTTGTCTCATTATTCGTGGTTGTTTTAGCTTTTTTCGGTGCTGGCGTTTTGTTTGATGACTCTGTACTAGTTTTCGTTGCTGATCGTCTTCTTCTAGCCTCCGCGGCTTCTTTCTTCTTTCTCTGTTCGTTGATAAATGCCCTGACTTGTTCCATTTCCTCTATTGTTAGAGAAGCTAAATAAATAAAATTTAAAAGTATTGAAATGACTCAAACATTCAGCAGTTACGTTCTTTTGTTCATCATTACCATTATTTACACCATTGTCAGATGAATCATCACCTAATATAATTGTCTCGTCTGATTAAAATTTTTAATTATATATGATAAATAATTAATTTTAAGATCAATTAATTACCTCTTTTAGCAGTGGCCTTTGAATTAGTATTCATTTTTTCTTTGTAATGTAGATTATTAAATTATAAATCTAATTAAAATTTGAATTTAAAGAGACTTTAAAAATAGTTAAATAAAAATGTGAACTAATTTTAAATATGTAAATTTAAATGGACTTTAGTTAAGAGACTATAATTTAAATTAAAAATACATTAATAGTAAGTTAATTACTCTGACATTATTTATGTTTTCTAGAGATATTTCTCGAAAAAATTTTTCCAAGATTTCTTTTAAAAATTTTTGAAAAAATTTGGTATTTTGCTGGAAAATAATTTTTTAACAACAAATTTTTCAAAATGCCAAAATATGCAAATTTTACCAAAATATGCAAAAATATGCAAATATGCACGAAAGTACCGAAATATGCAAAAATATACAAATATGCACGAAAGTACCGAAATATGCAAAAATATGCAAATATGCACGAAAGTACCGAAATATGCAAAAATATACAAATATGCACGAAAGTACCGAAATATGCAAAAATATGCAAATATGCACGAAAGTACCGAAATATGCAAAAATATGCATTAAGAACCGGGTTATAAAGTGCTCGGACCGATGTAAAAACGCTAAATTTGAGCGTTTCACCTCATGGGATATTCGCATGCAAAATATGCATTTGATGTTTTGACACGCCCTATTAATAAGTTATTTATTTCAATTAATTTATTTATTATTAAAATTTATTTATTTATTAAATTTATTTATTAAAATTAATAAATAAATGGGAATTTATTTATTAAAATTAATTAAAAGAGACTAGTAATTAATTAAAAATAAATTTATAAGATACGATTAATTTAGTGGATTTTTTAAATTATTTAAAAAAAAGATTTTAATTTAAATATATAACTTGAGGACCATCTTATTAAATAAATATCAATAAATCTTATGAAATTTTAAAACTTTAAACTCGCTGCGATAGAGGCTTTAGAGTGGGAGATATTTTTTAAAAGAAATCTTTGAATGTTTTAACGAATGAATTTTCTGATAGAAATCTTCAGCTTTTATATGCTTTGAAATTGAAAACAGGTTCTGTTTAAAATGATAATTAGTCTACCAAAAAAGTTGATATTCGATGTTTTAGAAGTTTTATTTTACTTTTTTTGGAAGTACCGAAATATGCAAAAAATATGCATTAAGAACCGGGTTCTAAAGTGCTCGTACCGATGTAAAAACGCTAAATTTGAGCGTTTCAGCTCATGGCATATTCGCATGCAAAATATGCATTTGCATGTTTTGACACGCCATATTAATAAGTTAAGGGAATTTATTTATTAAAATTAATTAAAAGAGACTTTAGTAATTAATTGAAAATAAATTTAAAAGATACGATGAATTTAGTGGATTTTTCAAATTATTTAAAAAAAAGATTTTAATTTAAATATATAACTTGAGGACCATCTTATTAAATAAATATCAATAAATCTTATGAAATTTTAAAACTTTAAACTCGCTGCGATAGAGGCTTTAGAGTGGGAGATATTTTTTAAAAGAAATCTTTGAATGTTTTAACGAATGAATTTTCTGATAGAAATCTTCAGCTTTTATATGCTTTGAAATTGAAAACAGGTTCTGTTTAAAATGATAATTAGTCTACCAAAAAAGTTGATATTCGATGTTTTAGAAGTTTTATTTTACTTTTTTTGGAAGTACCGAAATATGCAAAAAATATGCATTAAGAACCGGGTTCTAAAGTGCTCGTACCGATGTAAAAACGCTAAATTTGAGCGTTTCAGCTCATGGCATATTCGCATGCAAAATATGCATTTGCATGTTTTGACACGCCATATTAATAAGTTAAGGGAATTTATTTATTAAAATTAATTAAAAGAGACTTTAGTAATTAATTGAAAATAAATTTATAAGATACGATGAATTTAGTGGATTTTTCAAATTATTTAAAAAAAAGATTTTAATTTAAATATATAACTTGAGGACCATCTTATTAAATAAATATCAATAAATCTTATGAAATTTTAAAACTTTAAACTCGCTGCGATAGAGGCTTTAGAGTGGGAGATATTTTTTAAAAGAAATCTTTGAATGTTTTAACGAATGAATTTTCTGATAGAAATCTTCAGCTTTTATATGCTTTGAAATTGAAAACAGGTTCTATTTAAAATGATAATTAGTCTACGAAAAAAGTTGATATTTGATGTTTTAAAAGTTTTATTTTACTTTTTTTGAAATTTTTTGTCAATTAGTAATAGTGGTGTTTGATCAATTGTCTTCACTTAAAAATTTACACCTGATTAAAAAAATAGTTAAGTTAATTTTTAGTATTTTTTGTTGATTTTGAAAGAATGGAAAGTTAACATGTGTACTTTGACGTTTTTAAAATCAGGTTTTTTCTCATTAACAGATTAGAATGTAATTACTTTATAATATTTTTCTAGCTTTTTATATATTTTTACTATTTTTAATTGAAGCCAGACTGTATATATAAATGCACTTTGAAAGCCTACTTCATTTAGTTATGTATTTTTAGCATTATTGCCATTTTATATAATTTTAGTTTTGTTGGCCTTACATGATGTTTAGACTTATTGGCATTTTAAAGTTTTTAGATTTATTGGCATTTTATTGTTTTTAGTTTGCAGCTTCATGATTGTTAGATTTATTCTCCGCCTTTCTGCACAAATTTATCTTCCTAATTTTTAACTAAAATAATACATGATTTAAACCTTTTGGCCAATTGCATGTGAATATTTTATTTAAAAAAATTGTTACATGTTTTTAATAAAATGTTTTTAACATAGAGTGAATGAATATTTTTAAAATAAGGTATAGCCTAGGCAGTTCTCTGCAAACTGTGGGTATTTGTAATAAATTTATGCTAAAGATGTGACTGTTTTTAGAAAGATATTTTCAGTCATTATATTTCTATTCCTCTTCAAGATTTGACATACAGCGAGCCCAGTGTACTCGTTTTTTTTCTTGCTTTTCCCATTTTTTGTTGGCCTTGTCAGTTTTATATTGCTGTGCATATATGAAATATTCTCTCTGTATATCTAGTACATGCTTCATAATAATTATTATTA